GTTCAAGACTGGCCTGCGCAACATGGCGAGACCTTGTCTCTCCAAAAAATACAGAAATTAGCTGTACTTTGTGGTGGTATGTGCTATAGTCCTGGTGCTATATTCCCAGCTACCTGTGAGGCTGACTATAGCTGGTGCTATAGTCCCAGCTACTTGGGAGGCTGAAGGGGGAGGATTACTTGAGCCTAGGAGGTAGAGACTGTAGTTAGCCATGAGCCGTGAGATCACACCACTGCACTCCAGCCTGGACGACAGAGTGAGACTGTCTCAAAAGAAAAAAAAAAAAAAAGAGGGATATATCTGCATGGATTAGGCAATGGTTTCTTACATAAAACCTAAAGCACACCAACCAGAGGAAAAATAAATTATGCTTTCTCAAGATTAAAAAGGAGACTACCAAGAAAATGCAAAGACAACTAATAGATCGAGAGGAAATATTTGCAAATTATATACATGATAAAGGTCAATTATCTAGAATACATATATATTTCAAAAATTCATTTAGAGATAGGGTCTTGCTATGTTGTCTAGACTAGTGTTGAACTTCTGGGCTCAAGTGATCCTCCTGCCTCAGCCTTCTGAGTAGCTGAGACCATAGGCCTATACCACCACAACTGGCTGTGGAATATGTCAAGAACACTTACCACTCAATAATGTGGACAAAACCCAATTTAAAAATGAGCAAAGGCTTTAAATAGAATAAAAATGAAACATTTAAGACTGCTGAAAGTGGTTGCCTATGGGGAGTGGAAAATGGGAGGCAGGTGTCTGGATTGGAGGGGACGAGCTATTCTGAACAATAAACCTTGTATCACTATTTGGCTCTCTGGATCACAGTTCACAACAAGGGATGAATTTGCTCCGCAGGGGATATTTGGCAATCTGAATATATTTGTTAATAACCGAGGGGTCTTCCTGACATCTAATGTGTAGAGGCCAGGGATATTACTAAACATCCTACAAGGCAGAGAGAGCCCCATAGCAAAGAATTACATAGCCTAAAATGTCAATAGTGCTGAGGTGAAAAATTGTGTAAAGTATGTTTGAGGCTGGGTGCGGTGGCTCATGCCTATAATACCAACACTTTGGGAGGCTGAGGCAGGTGGATCAGTTGAGGTCAGGAGTTCGAGACCAGCCTGGCCAACATGGTGAAACCCTGTCTCTACTACTAATATAAAAATTAGCTGGGCGTGGTGGCACACGCCTGTAATCCCAGCTACACGGGAGGCTGAGGCAGGAGAATTGCTTGAACCTGGAAGGTGGAGGTTACAGTGGGCTGAGATCGCGCCACTGCACTCCAGCCTGGGTGACAGACTGAGATTTCATCTTAAAATAAATACATAAATGAAGTATGTTTGATAAAAGTACAAACACAAGTCAATAAAAGTTATGTTAAAAAATTAAAAAATAAAAAATCTTTTGTACAATATCCACAGATGTAGTTTTCTCTTTTTTTTTTTTGAGATGGAGTTTTGATCGTTGCTCAGGCTGGAGTGCAATGGCGCAATCTCAGCTCACTGCAACCTCCGCCTCTCGGGTTCAAGCAATTCTCCTGCCTCAGCTTCCCGAGTAGCTGGGATTACAGGCATGCGCCACCATGCCTGGCTAATTTTGTATTTTTTTTCCGTAGAGATGGGGTTTCTCCATGTTGGTCAGTCTGGTCTCGAACTCCTGACCTCAGGTGATCCACCCGCCTTGACCTCCCAAAGTGCTGGATTACAGGCGCGAGCCACCGCACCCGACCCACAGATGTAGTTTTCTTCATGTGCCATGCTTTGAACAGCAGGGCTGGGAAAGCCTGCCAGGGATGTTTAGAGAATATGGAATTCACTTGCTT